CTGGTCGGGGCATAGATTTGGATTACCGTAATATTGAATGGTTTGCCTTGGAAACGAACAGTGATCATTCTGTTGTTTTTGAGATTGCATCCAAGTACTGCATTTTGGACTCTTTTGTTGACTATGGTGGCTACTCCATTTTTTCTAAGGGATTCCTGCCCACGGTAGATATAATGGTCATCTGAATTAAATTGACCCGTTCCAGTCGATTTTAGTTCACTGATTCCTTGAATGCTGATGTTCACTCTTGCCATCTCCTGTTTGACCACTTTCAATTTGCCTTGATTCATTGACCTAACATTCCAGGTTCCTATGCAATATTGCTCTTTACAGCATCAGACCTTGCTTCTATCACCAGTCTCATCCACAGCTGGGTGGTGTTTTTGCTTTGGCTCCATCCCTTCATTCTTTCTGGAGTTATTTCTCCACTGATCTCCAGTAGCGTATTGGGCACCTACCAATCTGGGGGGTTCATCTCTCAGTGTCCTATCTTTTTGCCTTTTCATACTGTTCATGGATCAAATTGCCAACATCGCTGGATCATCAAAATATCAAAAGAATTCCAGAAAAACATCTACTTCTGCTTTATTGAGTATGCCAAAGCCTTTGACTGTGTGGATCACAATAAACTGTGAAAAATTCTGAAAGAGATGGGAATACCAGAGCGCCTGACCTGCCTCTTGAGAAATCTGTATGCAGGTCAGGAAGCAGTAGTCAGAACTGGACATGGAACAACAGACTGGTTCCAAATAGGAAAAGGAGTATGTCAAGGCTGTATATTGTCACTCTGCTTATTTAACTTATATGCAGAGTACATCATGACAAATGCTGGGCTGGAGGAAGCACAGGCTGGAATCAGGATTGCTGGGAGAAATATCAATAACCTCAGATACACAGATGACACCACCCTTATGGCAGAAAGTAAAGAAGAACTAAAGAGCCTCTTGATGAAAGAGGAGAGTGAAAAAGTTGGCTTAAAGCTCAACATTCAGAAAACTAAGATCATGGCATCTGGTCCCATCACTTCATGGCAAATAAATGGCGAAACAGTGGCTGACTTTATTTTTGGGGGCTCCAAATTCACTGCAGATGGTGATTCCAGCCATGAAATTAAAAGCCGCTTACTCCTTGGAAGGAAAGTTATGACCAACCTAGACAGCATATTAAAGAGCAGGGATATTACTTTGTCAACAAAGGTCAAGGCTATGTTTTTTCCAGTGGTCCTGTATGGATGTGAGAGTTGGACTATGAAGAAAGCTGAGCACCAAAGAATTGATGCTTTTGAACTGTGGTGTTGGAGAAGACTCTTGAGAGTCCCTTGGACTGCAAGGAGATCCAACCAGTCCATCCTAAAGGAGGTCAGTCCTAGGTGTTCATTGGAAGGACTGATGTTGAAGCTGAAACTCCAATACTTTGGCTACCTGATGCGAAGAGCTGACTCATTTGAAAAGACCCTGATGCTGGGAAAGATTGAGGGCAGGAGGAGAAGGGGATAACAGAGGATGATATGGTTGGATGGCATCACCGACTCAATGGACATGAGTTTGGGTGAACTCGGAGAGTTGGTGATGGACAGGGAACCCTGGCATGCTGCAGTTAATGGGGTCTCAAAGAGTCCGATGCGGCTGAGCGACTGAACTGAACTGACTGATCTGTTTACTGTGTTCCTGGAATACTAGATACAAATAATGTATCTTGTGAAGATACACATTTTGCAACATTTTGTCATTATATTTTGGAGAGTATTTAAAACTAATATTTGACTTGTATTTTAATACTTCAGATTCTGCTTATAGAATATCTGAAATCAAAATTAAACATGGGCGTATCCTCCTGTATGTATATGTGTATTTATAACCGCCTAACTAGCAGGAGTGAGCAAACATTTTGTTACTCAGTTGGTAACTCCACATTTACGGAGCCTCACCCCTGTGGGAGGCCCAGGTCGTGAGGAGCTCACAGTTCGTGAGGGATGGCAGTGGATGGCAGTGTGAAACTCCGTGAGAGCCATTATCATGGACTTGCTCCCAAAGTAGAATTAAGTCCTGGGCTGCAAGGAGAGGAGTTGGGCTGGGGGTTGGAAAAGCAGGCCCAGGCTCCCTGGTCTTCACAAAATTCATACACTAAGGCTTTATGAGATACCTTTCCTCTTTCATGTAATTACTTAACGTTGTTCAGTTGCTAAGTCTGTCTCTTTGCAATGCTATGGGCTGTAGTCCAGCAGGCTCCTCTGTGGACTGCATGGGATTCTCCAGGCAAGAAGACTGGAGTGGGTTGCCATTTCCTCTTCCAGGGAATCTTCCCGCCCAGGGATTGAACCCACATCTCCTGCATTGCAGGCAGATTCTTTACCACGGAGCCACCGGTGGTACCCAGTTACTATTGGGTTATTTTGAAACAAGAAGGAACTTGATTTATCTTCTTTCTCTCTTACTAAGTATTTGTAAGTTGTGTGGCTTTGGGCAAATCATAAAATCTGTCTGAACGTTTATTCCTTTATCTTTAATAGTAGTAAGAGCTCATCTCTCTACAGCACCTGTTATGTGCCTGTTTGTTCTTTGTATCACCCCCTCTGAGATCAGCACTGTCACTAACCTCATTTTCTTGTGAGCGGGAAACAGCCACAGAGAAATCCAGTCAGGCCACGGGGCTGGTAAGTGACTGAACAAGGGTTTGAACCCCTCGCAGGCTGGCTCCAGGGTATATGTACTCTTAACTTTCTAGGGTCTGTGGTCTTCTCACTCTCTAATCCATATTTATATGAGCATGTTAGTGATTTACCTGTGATAAATTTTCAATTAACATTCGTGTCATGGTATCATGGAGGCATTTTGGAGCTGCCTGTGATGATGCAATTGTTATTTGGAATTTTAAATGGGAACGTGTTATTTTTCCTCATGAAAAGGTTTTGTGGTAAAATAAAAATAAAGAACTAAAAGTTATTTAGAGATTTAGCAAATAACTAAAATATAAGTGTCTTAAGAGAAATGCTTCCTTAGTCATTATGTGGGAGGTCAGAATTGCAGTGTATTTTCTTGAGAAAAAATTAGTATGAATGCGATCACAAACCAAGAAGAGCAAGGGATATATGAATTTTCTTGTTAATTGAGTAGGAAACAAGAGTCTGGACATCCTGTATTAAAATGCTTACGTTGAAGTAGTCTGTTTGCCTGAGATAAATTTTGTTTCTCTCCACAATCTTACATACCTTGTACTGATAAAAGTTATGGTGTGCAGAATAAGGCCCGTGAGTTACAGAATATGAGAAGTGTTTGCTGTCTTAATGCTGTCCTGGTTGTTTAAGATCACATGCTACTATTATTATTTTATTAAATTGCTTTTGAAAACACAGCTGATTTGAGTCAGCTATGCCAACTGAATCTTGTTCCATCCCCCCATAGTTCATGGCAGTTCTTGTTAAATCTCTTAAAATGTTAATACTGTTTTTCTGATAAATACTCCACAAAGAACTCTAATAGCATATATATATGTTAATATGTACATATATATGGATGATCTGGGGGGAATTATCACAGAGACAAATGCCAGCAGCATTACATGCTGTCTGCTCTTTCTCATCTGGTACTGGACCCCAGGTTTCAGGACTGCCCCACCCTGAGTTCCTTTCTTGCCTTCGCCGTTTCACCTGCTCAGGTGCCGAAATTGCCGTGCCAGTCCAGGTGTGACTTAGCTGAGCTGCCCTTGTCCATTTTCTCCTCTGGTCACTGATTCCTGCCACCGTCCAGCAGCCACAAAGCCAAACTGAGTTAGATGCCAGTTCTCCTCCACTTTCTCTCTGTTCCCACAGTGTCCTATGCACAACTTCCGTAGAAGTTTTAATGTCTTTAGTTTTCACACTGGGCTTTCTTAACCATTGTCTCCCTACATCCCCTCTCTCCCTGTTCATGTTTGGCATGTTTGGCACCAGGGTCTGTAAATATTCAGAATAACAGCTACTGCCTTTGAAGGCAAACTTTTAACCCCTAGTCTTGTAGTAGCAAGAGGTATGGAACCTTCTCGGCTGGCCCTGCACTGGAGTGGGCTGCAGTCTTAGAGGCGACACATACATGTACACACACAGACACACACACACACACCTGCACTGAGTAAGCCAGAACCAGTGGGTGTGTGGAATAATATGAGCTGAGATTGACATTTATAATGTGCCTTATCTGTGTAATTGAATTATAGCAGGTTTTTTTTTTCTCCTAATGGCATATAACAGTATTGAAGTTTATGGAGTTTGCCAAGATGTCATTTATATATGCCGTGTCTACCAATACAGACAAAATCTGTATTAGAGAGAGAATATTCTAATCATACATATGTATTTTGAAATCCACTTTTTCCTAAACAGTGTAGAGCAAAGGTTATTTTTTCCACAGATACTGACTGACTTATCCTTCCAAAGACATCATCTTTGCGATGGCACTGTAAATGTGTAAAAATCCATCAGAAGCAGGGAGCCATGACTGGGATAGCAAATGCGAACATATTACATATAATATATCTCAATTTGCACTGTTAGCATACTGTACAGATTAATTGGCATTAAAACTACCATTAAACAGTGAAGTCTTGAGTGATTTCAGTCAGTAGAACATGTGATTCCTGTATTAAACCATGTATAAATATGACTTCTCTGCTTTTAATCCTGAATTCTTTTCTTACTAGTAACGTGGCAAGTCATTCTTCTTAGCCAACAAGCAAATTAGTTAATTTCTTTTTTTATGTTTTTATGACTAATTTATTACATGACCTAAATTTTAATTTTTTACTAAAATTTCTTTTAGTAAAATTTTTTTTAAATGTTAACTGCTAATATTATGTTGATCCTTTTAATCTATGTTGATTATTAATTACTTTTTTGGTTATTTTGCTTTGTCTAGTCTAGAAAACCAGGCCTGGGTTTTAAAGGACAGCATCACTGACTTGTAAAGGAAACCAAACCTTTGGTGGAAGTCCAGCATATGAAGATACAAAACTGTGGTTGATTCACAATGGGAACCACAAGTGATGAGATGGGGTCTGTGGAACAGACCTCGTCCTCCTCCTTCAATCCTTTGTGTTTCGAATGTGGCCAGCAGCACTGGACTCGGGAAAACCACCTGTACAATTACCAGGATGAAGTGGATGACGACCTGGTCTGCCATATCTGCCTTCAGCCTCTGCTGCAGCCGCTGGACACCCCCTGTGGACATACCTTCTGCTGCAAGTGCCTCAGAAACTTCCTACAGGAGAAGGATTTCTGTCCGCTGGACCGGAAGAGACTCCACTTTAAGTCGTGTAAGAAGTCTAGCATTCTGGTTCATAAACTCCTGGACAAATTGTTGGTTTCGTGTCCATTTTCTTCAGTGTGCCATGACGTGATGCAGCGCTGTGACCTGGAAGGCCATCTTAAGAACAGGTGAGCAAGGGAAAGGGAGAGCGTGGCTCCAGGCTTTGTGGAAAGGCTGCTCAAGCAGACAGAAATCGGAAACATGAATATAAAACCTACAGACAGAAAGTATCGTTTTACACCTATCAGTACTTTTTTTTTAATATTATTTATTTGGCTGTGTGGGACCTTAGTTGTGCCCACGTTATATCCATTGCAACTCTTAGTTGTAGCATGTGCGATCTAGTTCCCTGACCAGGGATCAAACCCAGGCCCCCTGCATTGGGAGCTCAGAGTTTAGCCACTGGACCACCAGAGAAGTCCCCCTATCAGTGTTTTTGGTGGTATAATATGAAGTTGTTATATTCACATGGGTAGCAGGATATGCAAGGCAGTTTCACAGTTTGTTTCAAAACTGGAACTGACTGTCAGTATCATCTTACCTAGCTTCATCCTAGGGACATAATCCAAAAGGAGGGAACATTGTATATAAAGATGTTCATTGCAACCTTGTGCAGAGTTCAGTAAATTGGGGTCAAGCTAATTACTTAACAGTGGTACATCAGTGCATCAGGATACTATGCAGCTGTTAAAAATGACGACATTGCTACAACATGGAAATGGGCACAGGCACACCTCAGAGATGTTGCGGGTTGGGTTCCAGACCACCGCTATAAAGTGAACATCAGGGAGCATAACACAGTGGGTCACAGGAACTTTTTGGTTTCCAAGTGCTTATGAAAGTTATGTTTACACTGTGCTGTGCTCTAGGAAGGGTTCAACAGCATTAGGTAAAAATGTACCCACCTTGATTGAAAATCCTTTACTGCTAGGAAAGAAATAGCCATCATCTGATGACACACAGGACTGCCACAATTTGTAAAAATGGAGTATCTTTGAAGCACAGTAAAGGACGTGTGATAAAATGAGGTCTGCCTCTTATCCATGATTTCATTCTTTAAAATCTTATAAAATTCTATGTTCAGGAACTAGACTGGACAAGAACTAGAGGTTGGAAACATTTTAGTAGGGGTTTTTGTTCTACTAACAAAGGCTTTTTAAGGGGTAAAGTAGTCTGTTCAGCTGATCGTTTAGTGAGTTTTTATCATTTGACCTTAATAAAAGACTTGTTCTTTAAAATTGTTTATACACTTTGGGAAGGGTTAAAACTTACCTCTTCTTAGATAGAATCACATAAAATGACCAAAATAAATGTATTGATGTCCAAATTTCATAGGTAAACCACTAGTGCAGTGTAAATCTACAGTAATTGTGAATAACAAGGCTTAGTGTAAGATACTGGATTTAGAAATAACATAAGTCTGGTATAGAACAGCTTGTCATTATACTCACACTTGAAATCATAGAGTTGAGTCTAAGCTCATCCTCTCCCTTTACAAATCAGGAAACTGAGTCACAGAGATTTGTAGATAGGTAAAGGCATGGTTAGACTTAAACTTCAGTGTTCCTGCTTACTGTTCTGCCATACCATGCTGGCCTTACACAGGGTGAATCCCAGTCTCGGCTGTGTGGTAGTACACGTTTGATATACACGTGAATATTTATTCATTCTGGTCCTAAATATCAGTGTTATACAATGGGTGTATTCATTAGAAATAATTTACATTTATGAGAAAGGATGAGAAGATTTACAAAAGAGTTAAGAGTGGGATAGATGTGTACACTTTTGAAAATGCATGTGGTGGTAGGTTTTTGTTTATCTTTGATCACCAGCCAGCATAGAATCTGAACACAATAACAGAGACTTCCTGGAAACTGACCCCAGACTTTTGAGTCTACTGTTTGGTTTAGGCCTAGTTGTGGCTGAGGTTGAAGATTTTAGGCTTTTCCTTTTTCTCTCATTAGGAAAGAAACATTAGGAAATGTTTCTTTTCTGGCTCTTATGAACATCAGTTTTGGGATATTAGAGGAACTGAACAGACTCTCAGTTCAGTTAATTATTTTGATAGCAGTGAGATAAAAATTACACAATTATTGTAGGAATGTTTACTTAAAATGCATACAAGAATTTAATATGTAATTGAAGTATCATGAGTTTTTCTATCAAACTGTTATGTTGATGATGTAAAAACTTGGGAACTTCAAACTATCCCTTCACTTATAGGTTGATAAAAGCTAAGCAGTTATGTCCAATTGAAAGTTCCATTTTCCAAGTGTGCTTATTAAGATTTGAGCTACTAATTTAATCACTTCCAAAGTGTGTTAGGCCTGTGTTTTGAAAGATAACACTGAAAAAGGTGAATGATTTGAAAAGGTGAGGTGACTTGCTTGATGTAAACAGTTAAGAGTGACTACTGATTATCAAAATTAGAACTAACCTTTGTTCAATTAAATTGTTAATCTGTGTTCTGGTTATCTATTGTTTGTTGTTGTTTGGTTGCTAAGTCATATCTGACTCTTGCAACCCCAAGTCCACCAAGATCCTCTGTCTATGGGATTTCCCAAGCAAGAATACTGGAGTGGGTTGTCATTTCCTTCTCCAGAGATCTTCCCGACCCAGGGATCAAACCAGTATCTCTTGCATTGGCAGGCAGATTGTTTACTGCTGAGCCACCAGGGAAGACCCTGACTTCACTTACTTCTTGCCTGACTGATCTCACAAATGTTAAATGTCAGTATTGGTGAGAAACCAACCACTGCAAATATAACCACATAAAACAGTGAGCACATGGAAACATATTCCACTCATAGATTTGGTGAGTCAGGGACTCAGGGCACAGCAGGACTGCTTTGTCTCTGCTCTGTCCACTCTGGGCCACAGCTGAGAACTGAAAGCCCAGGACTGTAGCCATTGGAACTAGAGTGTTTACATCCAGGACAGCAGCTTCACTCACGTGTCTGGCACATTGACGGAGGTCACAGGAGGCATGAAGCAGGACTTACCCACAGGAGAGTCTCCAGGTGCCTCTCCAGCACAGTGGCCTCTGACTACTTTACGTTCTTACATGGGTTCCCGTAAATACGGAGAAGTTGTATGGCCTTGTATGGTCTACCTTCAAGTCACATAGCATCCCTTATGCTGTCAGTCATAAGACAGCCCAGATTTGAGGCATAAACTTCCCTTTGTGGGGAGAGAACAAAAAATGTGCAGTCATGTAAAACCACAAACTAGCAATAAGGATGATGTCATGAGACACAGAATTATGATAATTTTATTAGTAGAAATAGTTTGTTAAATCTGATAGTTTTGAGTGCAAAATTACCTTCCCTATTTGAACAAAATTTTACTCTTAAGAAATCTGCTTCAGTTTGAGAACAGCTGATGTTTTGTCCTAGGGCTAAGAGTAAAACATTTGTGAAAGATGACTGTGCTTTTAAATAAAATTACTAGTTATTAAATGATTATATATTAGGAAAACAATGAAGAATTTTAAAAGACATGGAAAAGTGCTCGTCTTTGAAGGGAGAACTAAAGCCCTCAAGAAATATTCCATATACTGTATGACACACGTAACATTTTAGTAATTGCTTTATGAAGTTCTGCCAAGCAACATCAACTCTGAGGATTCCTCTTCCCCTCTCAACCCCATCCTGCCTTATCCTCAGCAGTTTAACATTTAAAGCTTATGGTAATTGTAAGTGATAATTTTTTTAAAATTGAGCATTTGTGCCCTAGTTTATGGCAAAATTCAGAACCGTTTTTTCCTCCTAGAACTTGAGTTTAACAGTATTCTAAAAGAACATACAATACAGAGAAAAACTTCAAAGAACTCTTCTATGCTGAGAGCTTCTCTAGTTAACATGGTTTTGAGCCTTTAAGGGTCAGGGTAGGCTGCGAGAAGATTGTTCTTTTAAATTCACTTTGTAACTTGGAGAGAAGTTTGTGTCTGGCACATGCTCACCAGCATTTTTTCGTCCTACATAATGTAAAAAACAGATATGTATTTGTAAATCATATCCAGTAAGGGTCTAGTATCCAGAATATATAAAGAAGTTCTTACAACTGAACAAAAACTAAATACAATTTTAAATGGTCAAAGGATTTAGGTAGGTATTTCTCCAGAGAAGATATTTAAATGGCCCATAAACTCATGAATAAATGCTTAACGTCACTAGTCCATTTTAAAAGTGGATTGTCTTTTTGTAAGTTTTAAGCAGTCTCTATATATTCTGACCCTTATTAAATATGTGATTTGCAAGTATTTTCTCTTATTCTGTCAGTTGTCTTTTCATTTTCCTGTGCCCTTTGAAGGACAAACAAGTTTAATTTCTATGAAGTCCATTTTATCTTTTCTTTTCTTTGCTAGTGCTTTTGGTGTCATAGCTAAAAAAACACTGCCTAATGCCAGGTAATGAAGTTTTGCACTTATGTTTTCTTCTAAGACTTCTATGCTTTTAGCTCTTACATTTGGGTCTTTGATCCAATTTGAATTACTTGTCATTGGAGAACATGTGTATGATTTAATCCTTTAAATTTTATTGAGGCTTTTTTTTTTTAAAGTGGCCTGGCACACAGTCTATCTTGGAAAATATTCCATTTGTACACAAGGTGTGTTCTACTGTTGATGGGTGGAGTGTTCTATAGATTTATCTTAGATCTAGTTGATGTATAATATTGTTAAAAGTCTCTCTTCTTTTCCTTATGTCTAATTATTCATTATTGAAAGTGGGAGAGAGGTCTTAGACTTTTTTTCCTTTTTTTAAAGACTATTATTTTTTTCCTCTAATTCTGTCATTTTGAACTTCATGTAAATACTTTGAGGGCCTGCTCTTGTGTTTATGTTTATAATTGTTATAGTTTTGCAATAAATCAAACTCTTTTCATTATTGTAGAATATTCTTGGTCACTAGAAAGTATTTTTGTGTTAAAGTCTCTGTTGTCTGAAATTAGTATACCCATTCAACACTATGTTGTTTGCTTGTATATTTTTTTCTCTCCTTCTGATTTAAACCTATTTGTATCTTTGAAATGTATCTCTTGTAGACAGTATATAGTTGGATCCTGTTTGTCTTTTTAATCCATCCTGCCAATTACTGGTTTTTGATTGGAGTGTTTAATTCATTTATATTTGATGTAATTACTGACAAGGTAGAATTTATGTCTTTTTTATTTTGTTATTTGTTTTTATATATCATTTCTTTTCAGTTTCTCTAAAGGTTCATCTACTTCTTCCCCTGTTCTTATTAAATAGATATGTCCAAGAATGCCATTTTATTTCCTATGTTGTTTCTGTTCATGCCTATTTTTTGAATTATTTTCTTAGTGGTTGCCTAGAGGATTACAATTAACATATTAACTTCAACAGTCTAGTTCAGATTAGTATGGACCTGATTTCACTGGTACACAAATATATAGCTCACATGTACCTTCTGCTGAAATTCAGTCATTTTTCTTAAATAAATGCATTCCAGATTGCTACCAAACCCTGGCTTATTTCCAGAGTTCAGTAATAGTTAGTACTGACAATTTTTCCCAGTGTTCGCATGGCTTTATGGAGGAGAGGCTTTTCGGATACCCCTAATCTAACATTTTTACTAATGCCATTTAAATTGATTTTTGCATGCTATAATCTGTAACTATTTTTATCATTTTTCTTGGTTCTAAGATACTCATATTCATTGAGCTTCATTCAGTGCCTCGCATTGTGCTGGCACTTAATCATGAGCTATTTTATCTTACGTCTACTGTTCCTGCCACTGCCACCCCCCTTCCCCCCACTAACACTGCTGCTAATATTACAGTGTGTTCTGCTACACTCTGCATCTCCTAATGTGAGTCATCGTATATCAGGGAACGGTGCCCCTGTGCCATAAATCAAGCTAGTTCATATGTGATTTTCCTCCATAAGGAGAGCCAGAATAGGGGAGTGAAATTACAACCTTCATAGGAAAGAAGTCCCCCAGTTTGCTCTGGCTAAGGAAAATTTTACAGACACACCTGCATGTAGAGGGCCCTCTGTGGGGAGTGACCTGTGCTCGGCGTGGACGTCACATTGCGTCCAGTGCCTTTGGTGAGGGCCGCCCACTGTCTTAGGGTTCCCCTTCCACCCACACTGAGTGCACACCTACCCCGATCTGGTTCAGGGCATACAGCTTGGGTCAGCGTGCACTTGTTTTCTGCTGTTTCTAATCCTGTGCAAGAGCGTCCACACTGGCCTCCTAGTACACTCAGTTACCTACCCCCGGTGCCAGTTGCAGTTTGTGGTGTTATTGTTAAATGCACCATTTAAAAGGCAGAGGTTTTGTTGTTGCTTGTGAGTTTTGTGTTACCAAGGCCTTTCTCACTCTAACGTTCTATGACTCTATTTCTAGGTACAAGTTTGTGAAAGGAATGCAATTTATGTTTTCTTAAGGTTCAGAGATGGCACTCCGTAAGAATGAACTTAGTATGATCCAATATAAAGAGCAGGCATCTCTGAAGTCAGATCTGAGTTTGTTTGGGTTTTGACTCTGTAATTTGATAGCTCTGTGGTACTGGCTTAGTTAGTTCAAGTTTCCCATTTGCAAAATGGGGATAATAGAGCAGTTGTGAGGATTCAGTGAAATACTGTCCATAACATAACATAACATAACAGCAGCAGGCACAGCTTAGACACCCAACACATGCTGGTGTCTTCCTTTCTCTTTCAGGTCCAAATGTTTACAGACGGGAGAGACACTGACTCTGGCCACCTGTGTCAGAGCTTTGCTCTGGTCTATTCACTCCCTAATTTTTGTTTAAAAATTAGTTTTATTGAGATATATTTCATCTACCATAAACTTCAGCTATTTTTGAAGTGTACAATTCAGTGGTTTTTAGTAAATTCATGGAACTGTGTAACCATCATCACAGTCTAATTTTTGGAACATGTCAACACCCCAGAAAGAAGCCCTGTACCCACTAGCAATCGTCTCCATCCCCAGACACCCTGGTTTTGGATGGTCTGCCCCAGCCTTCTTTTCCCCTAAGCTATGTGCAGATTTTGTGGAATGCATGTATTTTGTTAACAGAGCTGCATGTGTTTGGTCTGGGCTTCTGCCCTCGTCACTGAAAGTGTTCTCTTTAAGGTCACCATGACCTTCTCATTTCCAGATCAAACCAGTGCTGTGGCCTTTATGTTGTTTGCCCCTTCATGGCATTGACACAGTTGGCTGCTTTTTCTTTGTTGACACTCTTGTGTGGTTGTTCTGTCTCCATCTACTCAGCTGGTCCATCCTATTTAAACATGGGTGTTCCCAAAGGTTCCCTCTCTAACCTTCCTCTGATGCTAGGCAGGCTTATTCTTTTGTATTTTTGTATGGCATCATTTTTAATGTCTTTCATTCCTGTTACCAATTTGCTCTCCTACTGGGAACTTATATATACCTGTTTCTTTACCTCTATAGCAACTTTGTTTTGCTTTTTAAACTTGTTTTTCCGTGTTTAATAACTATTTGTTAGCCTTTATGATTATTTAGTTTGTAGGATATTTTTGTCATTTGTTAGGCTAATTCCCAGGTGTTCATATTGTTTGTATTTCCTCTTCAATTCCTGTTCCTAGTCCTTTTTTCTAGTCTGTGTAGATATTTGTGTATGATGTATATTTTGAGAACTAAATCTTTATGTATCTTAGTTATAAGTATTTTTATGATTCAGTTTTTTTGTGTCAATTTTTTATTGAATAAAATATTTTTAAAATGAATTTCTAATTAAATTCTAATTACTTCTATTCAACAGAATTAATCTTTTCAGTGATATAATTTTCAAAAATATTTGCAGAAACACTCCGTGGAGCACTGCCCCACAGTGCAGCGCGGAACATCCATTGTCCCCCTTCTTAGCAAGGTGAAGGGAAAGCAAGTCAAGAGACAGTGCTGAATAGAGAGACTTCATAATGACCTTCTCAAGACCTTGAAATCCAGGACCTAAAATAAATCTTTGGTTCATGTGGGAAATTATATTACTCATACCCTTAAAGAATAGCTTCTAATTTTAATTAAATTCTGTACTTTAATTGAATTTAATTCTATACTTAATTTGTTTGAAATTTTAGATTTTTTAAGAATGCTGTCATTGAATGAAGGGCTGCAGTCCTGAACACAAGACTGTCATCTACCCTGCCCCACCTTTTCTAAACTTCTTCCCCCAGCAGGAGAGTCGGTGGGGTCTGTGGAGTCGTGTCAGGGTCTGGGGTGTGTGCCTGGCTATCTCCTTCACAGATGCCCAACTCCTTCTCCCGCTCACTCCTCAGATGGCATTCATTATTCATCCTGTGTCTTGTCGAGGCATCAGGTGAAAAAGAGCTGGCACCTTGCAGCATTTCCAACGTGTGTATAAGACTTTCATTAAATGTTTAAACAAGCATGTATCTGCCCCCTTTGTTTGCCTAAATAAGTCAAAACAAGCCAGGTAACAGTTCTTATTTCTTGATACTTATGGAAGTTTCCCCAGAACTTAGAAATACATTCTTTAAGTTTCATAGTGCACCTGTAATCCCCCTGTTGCAGCTCTGCTTTTACCAACCAGGAGGTATGTTTTCACCTGTTTCCTTGTCTGTCATAAAGTAGGTAGTCTGAGCCTTGGCTGAGCTTCCTGCAGCTGGTGAAGCTTCATGTGGATCTCTGCTCCTAGCGGGTGAGGTGCAGTGTTGGCTGCAAGAGCAGAGAGGCCAGCAGTGCTCAGGGTCTGAGGCAGGGCGCCGGCGGCATGTGGAGAAAGGCGCTCGTTCCCACTTCTGGGGTTCAGCCATCTACCCTGTGAAAAGGGGAATTAACTGGAGCCTCAGGACAATGCTCGCAGGGCAGAGAATACTGTACTGCTCTATACTGTGTGTGTATTTCTGGTACTAATATATTCCTAAACACAGCTTCTTATTGAAGTATTCTTTGAGATATTATACCAAACCCTTGTTTGTGCAGATGCCTTGTTTTAAATTTGCTACATGGAGTGGTAAGAACTTAGTTTCTGTGGAAATGAAGATCAGAATTGTATACTGCTTGCGGATACTTCTGGTGCTTTTTGCATAGAAGCCTTTGCTGTTGTTTAGTTGTGGTACAAACTATTAGTCACTTTTTCTTTCCCTTTCACACCGTCTGGAAACCACTCGGTGTTGTCTTTCTAGATGCCCTGGAGCTTCTCATCGGAGAGCTGCCCTAGAGAAACGGAAAACTAGTAAGACTCAGATGGAGATCGAGAATGAAAATGGAACCACTCTCATAGACCTTCCAGCTGCTTTATCACCCGAAACGGACTGCTCAGGGCGGACCCTGACGTCAGCGACCCTTCCCTCCTGGATGGAGGAGCCCGGCCTGGACAACCCTGCCTTTGAGGAGAGCCCGGCTGGGGACAGTATGTGCCACCCCCGCCTCTGTTCTCCACCTTGTCTCAAATCAGGCATTCCTTCCTTCCTTTCCACCTTTCCCCGCTGCCCTTCCACGTGTTGTTTTCCTCTTTAAACAATTAACTTTGAGATATGGTTCACATACCGCAGAAGTCACCCTTTTAGGGGTACAGTTCTAACAGTTTGCAGCTTAGAAGCAGGACACGGAACTTAGCCTGAGGAAGGGGACCTTTCCACTCCCTCTTATATTCAGTCCAAGATTCACTGGTCATTAAACTGCTTCTTATTGTGTTTGTGTTCAAATGTTTGCTTGTCACTTCTTGACTAAGAAAACAACAATATCAAGAGCAACAAAAATAATGACCCCAATTAAGTGCCTCTTGTGTCAGGCTCCGTGCAAGACCCTCTCCATCTGCTAACTGACCCAAAACCTGTGTCGGTGCCATGAGGAGGTTGTATCGGGGAGAGTCTGGGGAGACTAGTCGGTCCTCATGTGCAGCCAGAGGAGGACTGGGTGTGTCTCTGACACTGAGGCCACTTCTCTGACTGCTTCGATGCTCTGGTGGCCCCCACGACTCCTGCCCTCTAGGAAAGCCTACAGTCATGGCTCCTGGGCATAGCTTGGTGGTTGGCCCTGGGTGTTTACTTTTAAATATACGTTTCTTGAAGAAGTTCCTACAAATTCAGATTTTGCCCGCCACAGCCATAATCGTTTTTTAAGACACTCCCTTTCTCAGGACCTGTGTGATTTCCCTCTCACCCCTGTGGTGACCACATACCAGAACTGTCTTTTCTTTATACTGCTGTGCATTATTGACATTTGTTTCACCCTCCAGGGGCTTCCTTCACAACTCCATTGATAAAGAATATGCCTGCAATGCAGGACACCCCAGTTCAATTCCTGGGTTGGGAAGATCTGCTGGAGAAGGGATAGGCTACCCACTCCAATATTCTTGAGCTTCCCTTGTGGCTCAGCTAGTAAAGAATCTGCCTGCAATGTGGGAGACCTGGGTTTGATCCCTGGGTTGGGAAGATTCCCTGGATAAGGGAAAGGTTACTCACTCCAGTATTCTGAGCTGGAGAATTCCATGGACTACACAGTCCGTGGGGTTGCAAAGAGTCGGACACAACTGAGTGACTTTCACACATACCACCCTCCAGACTGTCTCCACTTAGGATGAGGTGATGTTCTTTTAATACAACTTTCAGATCTCTGTGTCACCCCTCATGATCTGATAGGTAGTAGCTGGTTGCAGTAATTTACTGATCACCTTTAGGAGGAGAAATGTTTAGATAATCTTAACACACAGATATTGTTTGTCATTCTGTTTTCTTATCCAGTGTTTGTCATTCTGTTTTCTTATCCAGTGGTATTGCATAGCTATTAATGTAATATGACTTCTTTGCCTGAAAATAATCAAGATATAAAATGTTGTTTCTCTTTCCATCTATTTTTCTCTCACTTTTAACTCGGCAGCCACACCACAACCACTTAGCTTACCAGAAGGTGAAATCACCACCATCGAAATCCACCGGTCTAATCCATTCATTCGGCTAGGAATTAGTATTGTGGGTGGCAACGAAACGCCACTGATTAACATTGTCATCCAGGAAGTCTACCGCGATGGGGTGATCGCCAAAGACGGACGCCTCCTTGCTGGAGACCAGATTCTTCAGGTACTCATTTTAATTCCTCTGTCAACTTGGCGCTTTCTCGTTCTTACTCATGAGATTAGAACAACATTGTTGTACTGTGGGACCTGTGTTGTATGTAGGTGAGTTTTGCTACTTTTATATGCAAAGTATGTCAGATTTTGTTTGCAATTTCTCCCCTTTCCCAAGAGCTGGCTCAGGGCAGGTGGTGTTTTCTTAGCCTTGGGGCTGAGGGGAGAGGGAAGTGAGGCTTCCGTGTGGGATGAAGTTATAGCCTGGCCCACTGTGCTGGCTTGTCCACCTTCATCCTTCCAGTTCTGCTTAGCCCTTCTCCCTTCTCCTTATGTGAGCCACTGACCACCTTCACTGCTGCATTCGTCATGTGGCATGTCAGGACAGTGCACTGTGTAAGTGGACTTGTCTTTTCTGTGTGACCGCAGCCACCCTGATGGAGTGGAGGTCGCTCTAACATCCTGCCAGGCATAACCACCTCCTTTATTGAAGTAAACCTGGAATCTCTAGGAATTTTCCCAACCCTAGGTGTATGTTGCCCCTCAGGTATGTTATCCCCACTGTAACACTTGTACCCCAAACACTTAGCACAGCTGACACAGACGGAACTTTCCAGCAGGGTTTTGTTTAGAAATACTGAGAAGAAACGGTACAGGAAGCATCACCAGTCCTGCTTATGTAAACTGAGCTTCTTGACTGTGCAGTGTTTACCAGTAGCTCACTCTTCACTGCACAGCTGTGGTTGCTCTCACCTTATAACATTAGTCTCTAGCTGTACGAGGCTGGCAAAGCCTGTGGGCACCTCGCCTGTACTCCCAGACCCGATGCTGGGTCCACAGGCTGCCCCCACATCCTGACACACGGGCGGTTCAGGAAAAGTAAAGAGCCCAGCTGCCCTTTTCTGCAGCTCATATAGTGTCTTTTCTTTGTCCCATTTTCTCCGACTGCCAGCCATTTTGTTAATAAGTGTACATGGGTTTTTCTGTTTTCTTTTTTGCCAACAGTGATATACTAGCATTAGGTATTCTTTTTCTAAATTTTAAAGGTAAAAATGTTTTCATTTGCATTTGACTACAACTGAGGTTAAATAGGTTTTTAGGCTTTGTTTGCTAATATAGTGTTATATCTGTTTTAGAGAATTGTGTTAAGTAATATAACTGAATCCTTGTAACTCAACATTACAGTTATCTGTAAAGTTATATTTTTTGAAAATTAACTCAAAGCTATAGACATTTACATTGTAGAAATTCCAAGGCACTGTTGTTTATGGAGGCATAATACTAATAACTCTAGTAATAGTCATCTGAAATCCAGTTTAATGATTCAAATTGGTAACAAAAGTATGAACACATAACCTGATTAATGAATTCAAAAGGATCTCTGCTACTGTGGGCCCTAACTTCTGCTTGGCCTCATAACTGGTTGTGCTGGAGCCAGTAAGTAAAGCCACACCCCTCACCCACATGTGGAGTATTTATGGTCACTCAGAAGTGAATACCGGGAAAGAAGGCTGCTTGGAATTTGTTACTATCTGGTTATCTCCATCTTTGTATGAGCTACATAAATAATACAGGGAGCCCACTTTGAAAATACCCGAGAGTTGTGAAGATGGTATATTTATAGAGCAAAGAGCTCCAAGCCTGTGCTTTTATTTTAGCAAACTATTTGCAGTAACAGGTGTGGCTTTGGTTTTCCCACATTAAACACACACCTTCTTCTGCTAAATAAGCTCTTTGACGAGGAGACCCATATCCCTTCAGGGCCTTTTGTGATGCAGCCTTTTGAGCAGTTGGAAGAAAAAAAATACTGCTGGGGTAAATTACATCAGTGTCACAATTAAAGATAATACAACTTTTAGAGCATTATGAAGAATGAGTGTTCTCAGTTGGAGCTATTATCAGTGATTGAGGCATGTTCAGTTTTGAAGGAAAATAACTACAGCCATGTGTTGATGGGAAGTGAAGTGAAAGTGTGAGTTCCTCGGTTATGTCCGACTCTTTGTGACCCCATGGACTGTAGCCCGTCTGGCTCCTCTGTCCATGGGGTTCTCCAGAAAGAATACTGGAGTGGGTTGCCATGACCTTCTCCAGCGGATCTTCCCAACCCAGGGATCGAACCCGGGTCTCTTGCACTGCAGGCAGAATCTTTACTGTCTGAGCCACCAGGGAAGCCCCATGTGTTGATTACACTGGTACAAAGCACATTTAACCAAAATGGTAGAGCTTACTCTTCTGGTGCTGCTTTTACAAAGCCTAGAAACAATAATTTATTTGGTCTCTTCTTTCTCGGCATTTTTCCAGCAACCACACATTCATGAAGGAAAACCTTTTTCCTTGTGGGATATTCCACACCTACTGCTCAAGGCTAGTTAAGAGGCTATATGCTTTTGCGTGGCTACACCTGGGTTTCGGCCAGAGTCATGTGATATCTGAATGCAAGAAGGACAAATGTGAGCTAAGAGCTAGGTGGCTCTTAGCTGAATAGACAGACAGGATGGTTTTTGATTCATGGATCCATGGCCGACTAGTCTTTTTAGACACTGCTTTAATTATGTACTTGATCCTGTGTTATACAGTGTTCTTACTGAGGGCTTTGGTGGCTACCAAATGCACAGAAGTCTCAGACTTGGGAGAATAGCAAGTTTGTGTATGATACCTATGAATTTGATTGAAGTTTTAAAGATGTCAACAGGCCAAAATCAACAAAATTTCAAGGTAATAGTGTTCAGAACTATCAACGCTAGATTAATAGGAAGTGGGGAGGCCTTGCTTCACATAGATTAACATGAAAAAAATGTAAGGAGTTCAGGTGATCACACCTACCTCAGCCAGAGCCTGTCACTGCTGTTCAGAGCCTTGTCCCCCTTGCTGTCCGTTGGGTCGGGAGCAGCTCTCACTGTGAAAAATACAAGAGCTGTGCTAATCTCCTCTCACTGGGTAAACAGCTGCAGCTGGGTGTATTTTCTTAGTGATATCACATGTCCAAAGATCAGTCACTGTACTTATTTCACAGTTACGAAGTTTAATAAGTGTTTTGTGAGTACTAAATTATGCCTATATTTGTTAGATGCGTTATACTTGTGAGCCAAAGAATTAGAGTGAAATTATGATTATCTGCTTTAAAGTAAAAGTCACTCATCTGAAATAAGATATATTTGGATTGAGCCAGTTTCCTTAAGTTTATTTTCTCTAACTTAAGTGGATTTCATTTGACTAATCAAACTTGTAATCCAATAGACCTTCCCTTTCTGTTCCATTAGAGCTAGTCTTTCATCACCCCTTGCCATACCTGATGTTGACTAACTAGGCTCATCCTGACTCGGTGGAGTGGATAATGGTAAACACATTTTACAAGTGAGACACTCACGCAAGCTCTGAAATCCACCACAGGTTATCCAGCTATCATTAAAGGCTGTGATCTGAACTACTAATCTCTACTTGCTGCTCTTCATTTTAAGTTAATTTTAGGAAGTCTGTCTTTTAGAATGCCTTTGTAAAGTGTTCTTTGTAAATAATGACTGTGTATGTTTTCCACAAGGTTGGTCTCCTTTAGAAATGTTAAACATTTCCACAACTTGGGAAAGTAAGAGTCATCCTGGTGCTTTCTTTCCAGGTCAACAACTACAACATCAGCAGCGTGTCACACAACTATGCCCGGGCTGTGCTGTCACAGCCCTGCAGCACGCTGCAACTCACCGTGCTTCGAGAGAGGCGCTTCGGCAGCCGTGCGCATGGCCACCCCGAGGGCGGCTCGCCCCGGGAGGAGGTCTTCCCGGTGGTGCTGCACAAGCGGGACTCTGCTGAGCAGCTAGGCATCAAACTCGTGCGCAGAACCGATGAACCGGGCGTCTTCATCCTTGACCTGTTGGAAGGGGGGCTGGCGGCCCAGGACGGCCGGCTGAGCAGCAATGACCGGGTGCTGGCCATCAACGGCCACGACCTGAAGCACGGGACGCCTGAGCTGGCCGCCCAGATCATCCAGGTGAGCCCCGCCCACGCCCACTGTGCATGCCCAGTCCCCGGCGGAGCTCAGTGCAAGTTCTCACTGGCAGGTAACACTGCAATCAGCCCGGGGGTGGTGCAACGTCACCTCACTGTTGAGCACAGCCTCCTAAATTCTTCCACACTGTTTAATCCATGCTAGTCTAGCCTCACCCCAGCTGAGCTGCACCCCTCCTGTGACCTTCCAGGCGGGCTGTTTCTAAAGGTCCTCTGGTGTCACGTGGCCGGTGGTGGTGTCCACACTTCACCAGGGAGCAGCAAGACCCCACGGGAGCTGTGGTCAGTGAGGGTGTGGCTCACCTAGTCTCTCTACTCCCCTGCACTTCACAGTCCATAAAAATAGAGGAAGGTAACTTACTATTCAGAGTATCTCTATAGTGCCTTAAAAAAAAAAGAATCCAGAGCATTTCAAACACATAATATTCTCTGGAAGTAGGTTGTCATTATTAGAGAAAAGAAATGTGTTTTTGGTAACAGCATCAAAACAGATGAGTTAAAAACCAGAGAAGATCTTTAGGTTCTAGGATGCCATGGCCTCTAAGGGGGGGGTCCCACAGCCTTACAGGAAGGTAAAGCAAAATGGGTTTTTTTAAGCAGGCACAACACATATTGCAGTGGAAACCAAGCATTCGCTAACTGAATATCTGAAATTAAGGTAGGTTGATAGTCACGAAATATGTATATGTACATAGAATCAAATAACAATGAGGTTTTAAGATTAAGAAAATCCAGGTTTCACTCCCCCTTTAACCTACTCCCCTTTTTTTTTTCACTTTTTGGTTAAATGTAGCCTTCAGGGAACGTGCTCACAGCCATACTACACTGAGAGTAGGTTCAGGCATTGGTCTTATTTCATAGACTTCAAGCTTAAAGAAATCGAATAGCTTGACATTCCCTCACATCAGAGGCAGCACTCAGGGCACCAAGGGCTTTACCTGTGAGTCGCATCAGCTGCTGCACTGCTGAGAACAGTTGATCTTGTGGGGCGGGGGGAGTGGGAAAGAAAGTTAACCCAGTTTGGGGATTTGTTAAAGGAAATGAGTGAGTTGGATGGGCTTTTTGAAGTGAGAGGTCAGTTCAGTAAGATAGCCAGGAAGAGAGCAATATATATTGACTGACTGTGTCTCAAGCAGTGTTCTAAATTTCTAACCAAAATGTGGAAGGTATAGTTACACAGGTAGAAAACACACTTAAAGTTTTTCAGCGGTAATATATTTATTTGGATTTTTATAATTCAAATAGTTAAATCGTTTCATCATATTTTGTGCTGTGATTTTTTTTTCCCCAAAGCATAGAAAACTCAAGTTGCTCAATTTAAGTTTCTTTTCGAGAAAAATTAATGGGTTTGATCCCTGGGTTGGCAAGATCCCCTGGAGAAGGGAATGGCTACCCGCTCCAGTATTCTGGCCTGGAGAGTTCCATGGACAGAGGAGCCTGGCAGACTACAGTTCATGTGGTCACAAAGAGTCAGATACGACTGAGCAACTTTCACTTTCAATAATCTTATTGAAGATTGTAAAAATAACAGATTCTGTGTCTAAAATGGAAATAAAATACCAAAGATAAAATATTGAAAATATATTAAAATTGAATTTGCACTAAACACTGCCAGCAATGTCAACATTGTTTGGAGAACATCCTTACAAACTCCTGAGTGTATATGTCCACAAATAGGCACACATTTATACAACACTTACACATGCACTTACCTTGTAAGGTCTGAATTTGCAGCTTTGTGTCTGCAGTATGTTGTGAATGTCTTAACCACTAAAGTAAGTGTAGAACCATGTCCTGATCTTTACCAGCTGATTGATTCAGTCATCTCCTGTTGACAGACTTACATGTTTTGTTTTCATTTTAAAAGAAAGTTACCCTTCAAGAAGTTCTGGGGAGGAAGAACACCTCCTTGGGGAGGTGGACTGCTCTGCCTGGGTTGTTGAGGAGGGGGGTCTGGGAAGGGTCTGTCCAAGAGCTGTGTGTGTATTTCAGCAGCAGACACCTTGAACCACAAGCTCACAAGACCAGCTCCCTTCCTCCTACCACCAGGCACTTGCAGCCACCCCAGGCAAGGCACTGACGCAGTGATGGGAATTACCTGTGCTCTGTGAAATGAGAAACATCGGTAATGACTGGCAGCTGTGTTTGTGTTTCCTCCAGGCCAGCGGGGAGAGGGTGAGTTTAACAATTGCCAGACCAGGGAAACCCCAGCCTGGAAGCACCGTCCGAGAGGCAGGAACTCAGAGCAGCAGCCAACACCACGCACAGACGCTACCTTACAACAGACCCAGCTCACATAAGGTGAGGCTCCTGCTCATGGTTCTGAATTCATCCACCCTCCAAGGATAAGTCATTACAAGCTAGTGAGACTTTAATGAGGGCTGTTCACTCCTGGAGAAGATGCACAGAAGTATTTGTGCAGTGTTCACATCCTGCCACCTTGGAGAGTGCCTGTCTCAGTCCCTCAGTCAGTAGTTTCTTGGTGGGGAAGGTCTCCTGCCAGGTGATTAATGAGAAGTATTTGTCCAGAAAAGTCTTTGGTTTGTTTAGTTCTGTTTGAAAGTGGGACTTAACTTGCTCATTTAAATGTAAAGTTTACATAATTGAAAAGGCATAATGAAGACAATGATTGACAGCTTGTACTTAGCAATTGTAGGTAGTTTGCCTAAAACAGAATTAGACATGTGACTATTAAACACATAACTCATAAATTTCGACAGCTACATGTATAGCATATGTTTTTATCTTCTAGAATAGGAAGACTGCCCTAAATCTTTTAAAATTCTTGTATGTTTTATTCCTGCTTCTTCAGTATTTCACTGGTTTTGTAACTTATATCAAGGTCTTTTACTTGTGCTTAGAATTTTGATACTGTCTCACTTAAGTTGCAGAAATTTAAAGAGGGTTTATAGTTCCTTCTTGCTAAATGAGCTTCCACAGTCAATCTCTTTAAGTAAAATTAAATTTCCTTACTAAACAAAAACGTCTGTTGGTCTGCTTAAAACCACAGGAAGTTCCCTGTGTGCTCAAATAACTTCTTAGTGTAGGACAGTATTTGAGAGAATACTTACCTTTGGAATGTCACAGGGACCCTGAGAAAAGCACCCCTAAACAGCAGAAGTATTTTTGGCCTGTCAGGTGTATCTGGTTTCCTAGCTTAAGTACAGACTTGTCACTGGTTTCTGGTTTAGTTAATACATGTAAGAAATTGTACCCACAGACTCGTTCTCATTTCGGAACTGAAATTGAAGTATATGAAGGAAACCTGTAATTTCGCCTTTGTGATGATGATCATGAAAAAGGACTTACTGTTTTGAATAGGAATTTCAAATAGTTGTTGCATACAGCTCGTCCTTGCTTTATGCATATAATATATATTCCTAGAGTCGGACATGACTGAGCAACTGAACTGAACTTAAAGAATCATAAGGGAAAAACAGATTACTGAATCTACTTTTGATTTTTACTTCATTGAATTTTATGGTAATTTGAGATATGAGGGTCTGTACATAATTTTAAGACACTTTTAAAAAACTGTACTTGGTCATTCCAACACTCATATAGAAAACTCTGCTTATTTTATTTGGGGCAGAAATTTTTTCTCTTAACTTTACTAACTCTTGTTGTCTTTAATTTTATATGACAACTGACTGACGCATTTGAAAAGACCCTGATGCTGAGAAAAATTGAAGGCGGGAGGAGAAGGGGACGACAGAGGATGAGATGGTTGGTTGGTATCACCAACTCAATGGACAAGAGTTTGAGTAAACTCCGAGAGTTGGTGATGGACAGGGAGGCCTGGCGTGCTGTGGTCCATGGGGTCGCAGAGTCAGACACGACTGAGCAACTGAACTGAACTTACATGACAACATTTTAAATAGAATAAGTTTAGCATTACTGTGTACTCTGCAAATCTAATTGGTTAGAACAACCACATGAAATGTACTTTTAAGTGTTAGCTATTTACTACTAAAACACTGCATTTGTTATATAAAATCCTGATTTGGAAAAAGGGTCTCCTAGGGAAAATAAACACAAATTCACCCAAAAAACCCTGTTCAGATGATTATAATCATTGTAAAACTCATGGCATACATGAGCCGGCTACTAGGCCTCTAAGTAGCTGCTTAGATAAACATTTGTATGATTTAGTACTTTAATTGAAGTATACTGAGTATAACCTTTAAAGTTTGGTTTGGTTCCATTCCCAAGGAGAAATCGTATATCTGAGCCCTCTAGACAAATAAAATAACCATCTTTAATTGATTAAATACCTGAAAGCCAAAATTGCTTGTAAATATACTCAAGACTACTAAATTTACATGAGTTGTCTTAATAAAGTGGGTTTTGTCCATTTTTGAAGGATACTAAGATAGATTTCATACCTTTAAACAGGCCACTGCCTTAAGACATTTCCAAGTTTTCTACTAGGTCATAACATTTTCTAGGAGTGCTAGGCAGTTCTTGCAAGTAGCTCCCTTAAATAAAATTTCAAGAGTTATATGTGTTCTAGGATCAGAGAAAGGGAGATGGGCCTGCAGTTTCAGGGGCTGGATTAACAGATAGGTACATGTCAGTGTTTTCAAATTATGTCATTAAAGGAATGCTACAATTCTGTAACCATAAACCCATATTTCTATTGTTGGTATTGTTAATGTTAATTCTTACCTGCATTTTATCATAGTTGATAAATGTTGGAAACCTTCTGACGTTAGCTTTCCCTGTGGGATAGTAGTGGTGTGGTGTGGGTGCGCACAAACATGTATATGGAGTGCATCATATTATGTGCACATATTCATATGTTTGCATCTGCTCAAATCCCTATGCAGGGACTTAAAGAGCTGTATGATTTGGGACAAGTTACAAGAGCTGAGCTGTTTCCTCATCCATATAAGGGGAGAGCCAATAGTACTACTTACTTTGAAGACCACAGTGAAGATTAAATTAAATAATGTATATAGCGCTTCCCTGGTGGCTCAGTGGTAAAGAATCCGCCTGCTAATGCAGGAGACATGGGTTTGATCCCTGATCCGAGAAGATCCCATGTGCCAGTAAGCCCATGCACCACGACTGTTGGGCCTGTGCTCTGCAACAAGAGAAGCCACCACAGTGAGAAGCTCCTGCACCTCAGTGAAGAGTAGCCCCCACTTGCCACAACTAAAGAAAAGCCTGTGTAGCAGTGAAGACCCAGCACAGCCAAAAACAATAAACTTAAAAAATAATGCATATAAAGCCATGAGCTTTGCACATAGTAAGCCTTCAATATTGTTTTAATATTCCTATTACATATATGTACCTTGATTTTATTGAATTCTATTTTCAAAAGAAAACTGGTTATCAAGAGTATCTCAATAATAAGTAACAGTAACAGATGTCAATAAAAATAGCTTTTCCCTGAGAATATAGTTCGTTGGGGATTTATTTCCCTGTCATTAACTTCAAAAATTCAATTATTTTATATCCTTTTAGCTTTTCATAAAAGGTTTGAAGGTAGATTTGCATCTGCTTCATGACTTGAGTGCTCTGATAACCTTTGTTAGTCAGAATCAGAAGATAAGTATCTAGCTTTTTTGTTTTTGGTAGTTAGGAAAATCCACACTTTAATACCACTGTCAACTTTTCCCTCAAAGAATATAAGAGAAAAATGGAAGTAAAATTAATTGGCTTCTTTTCAGGATCTTAAAATTCAAGTGCATTATTTACTTCTGTAGGTTGATCCGACCTGGGAGCTCATGGTAACTATATACAAATGATGAGCTTGTTTTACTTGGACTTGCCCTGAGTGTTTCAGTCCCATGTACAGTCATGTGAGTTTGCCAGAGTTTGCCATTGTGTGCCTGTGAAGAACTGTGTATTGCTTTCAATTCTATAGTGATTTTTAAAAAATGCCTTTATAGTTGCCACGTAAGTTTTTACTCCAGCTGTCTTTACCTTGCCTGTATATATTATTCATTATCCAATAAGTTTTTCTTCTCACATTTAGGATCTTGCCCAGTGCGTTACATGCCAAGAAAAACACATCACTGTAAAGAAAGAGCCACATGAGTCCCTTGGGATGACAGTAGCTGGGGGCCGAGGAAGTAAGAGTGGGGAGCTGCCCATCTTCGTGACCAGCGTGCCCCCTCATGGCTGCCTCGCGCGTGACGGCAGAATCAAGAGAGGTAAGCTGGGGCTTGGACAGTTTCACCACATCTCTCAAATTCAGCTCGCATTCTTACAAATAAAGAATATCTAACAGAGTTTCCTATTAAGCATAGCGTCTTAAAATAGCCCTTGCATCAAGAATCCCTGGCCTCTGGGATCTAATGCCTGATGATCTGAGATGGAACTGATGTAATAATAGAAATAAAGTGCATAATAAATGTAATGTGCTTGAATCATCCCAAACCATCCCCCGCCCCCAACCCCAGCGGAAAAACTGTCTTGCATGAAACTGGTCCCTGGTGCCAGAAAAATTGGGGACCACTGCTTTACATATGGAAGCATAAAGCCTCTATAAGGTTAGAAAAATTCCTAATGTAAAGGGAAATCTCTGGAGCTTAATAATGGTTCTTTTACTTTCTAACAGTTACTCAATCTGTTGGGTTACTTTATGTTGAAAAAGATCCTCTAAGAGGTTAATGTTCCCAGCATTATGGCAGAATAGATACTTGGAAAGATCATCTCTCTTGATTTTACTAACTGCCAGCAGAAATACACTTGCTGACTATTAAAGTGTCTGAGTGGGAGGAAGCTCACAGAAGAGGTGGAGCAGAAGATAAACTTAATAAAAAGGTAGTGGTTTTAGGGAGTAATTCAGTCACAATTTCACAACCCCCCTCAATACTACTAGAGAAGGAAATGACAACCCACTCCAATATTCTTGCCTGGGAAATCCCATAGACAGAAGGAGCCTATAGTCCATTGGGGGTCACAAGATTTCAACATAGCAACTAAACAACAGGCAATACTATATAATTTGTATGGGGGGTGGTAGTTGTAAAAATAGCATTCTCAATATATTTGGTTTGTTTCATATGGAAAAGTGAGTCTTAAAAGCTATTTTCCAGAAGTGAAGTTGGAACTCTACCTTACACCATGTACAAAAATTAACTGATCCAACACCTAAATGTAAGAGCTAAAACTTTTAGAAGAAAACCAAGTGTAAATCCTCATGGCTTTGATTAGGCAATAGATTAATCAATTGTTATCTTAGATATGACACCAAAAACACAAGCAGTAAAAACAAAAACAATAGAAAAGATTAGTGAAACTAAAAGCTTGTTCTTTGAAAATATGAACAAAATTGATAAACTTTTTGCTAGGCTCATCAGGAAAAAATGGAGAGGGCCTAAATCAATAAAATTAGAAATGAGAAAGAAGTTAACAACCAACACCACAGATATACAAATACAAAGGACTGTAGAGACTACACTAGCAACTATATGCCAATAAGATGGACAACCTACGAGAAATGGACAAATTCTTAAGAGAAGTACAATTTCCTAAGACTGAACCAGGATGATATAGAAAATATGAACAGACTGATTACAGGTACTGAAATTGAATGTCATAAAAAAGCTCCCAATAAATAAAAGTCTATTACAAGTGACTTCATAGGAGAATTCTGTCAAACATTTAGACAAGAGTTAGCACCTGTTCTTCAGAAATTATTACAAAAAATTGCAGAGGAAGAAACACTCCCAAACTTATTCTATGGAGCCACTGTCACCCTGATACCAAAATCAGACAAAAATACCACAAAAAAGTGAAAATTACAGGCCAGTATCACTAATGAACATAGGCTCAAAAGTCCTCAACAAAATACTAGCAAACTGAACCCAACAGTACATTTAAAGGATCATATACCATGATCAAGTGGGATTTATCCCAGGGGTACAAGGATTTTTCAATATCCTCAAATCAATCAGGGTGATACACATTAACAAATTGAAGGATAAAAACCATATGATCATCTCAGTAAATGTAGAACAAGCTTTTGACAAAATACAACATCCATTTATGATTAAAAAAAAAACTTTCCAGAAAATAAGCATAGAGGGAACCTACCTCAACATAATAAAGACCATATGTGACAGACCCACAGCTAACAGATACAGTGGTGAAAAGCATTCTGTCTAAAATTTGGAACAAGACAACATTGTCCACTCTTACCATTTTTATTGAATATAGCTTTGAAAGTCCAAGCTACAACAGTCTGAGAGAACTCTAAATTGGAAAAGAAGTAAAACTGTCATTCTTTGCAGATGACATATTAATATTTAGAAAGTCCTAAAAATGCTACCAGAAAACTACTGGAGTAGTTTTCAGTGACTTCTGTAAAGTAGCAGGATACAAAATTAGTGCATAGAAATCTGTTGCAATTCTATACACTAACAATCAAAGACAAAAAAAGAGAACAATCCCATTTACCATCACATCAAAAAGAATAAAATACCTAAGAATAAACCTACCTAAGGAGTTTCCCTGGTGGCTCAGACAGTAAAGAATCTGCCTGCAATGCAGGAGGCGAGGGTTCAATCCCTGGGTTGGAAAGATCCCCTGGAGAAGGAAATGGCAACCCACTCCAGTATTCTTGCTTGGGAAATCCCACGGACAGAGAAGACTGGCAGGCTACAGTCTGTGGGATCACAAAGAGTTGGACACAACTGAGTGAATAACACTTTCACTATTCAAGAAGGCAAAAAACCTGTACTCTGAAAGCCATAAAATGCTGATGACAGAAATCAAAGATGAGACAGATGGAGAGATGGATACCATGTTCTTTAAGTGGAAGAATCAATATTGTCAAAATAAATACACTACCCAAGGCAGTCTGCAGATTCATTGCAATTCCTATCAGATTACCAATGGCATTTTTCACAGAACTAGAACAAAAAACTAAAAATTTGGAAACACAAAATATCTGGAATAGCTAAAGTCATCTTGAGAAAGAAAAGCAGAGCTGGAGGAATCAGGCTCCCTGACCTCAGACTATACTACAAAGGTACCGTAATCAAAACAGTATGACACTGGCACAGAAGAGAAATACAGATCAATGAAACAGGACAGCCCAGAAATAAATGCTATAGGCAATTAATTACATATCTATAGTCAGTTACAAGGGAGGGAAAAATATACACTGGAGAAAAGACTCAGTCTCATCAGTAAATGGTGCTTGGAAAACTGGACAGCTACATGTAAAAGAATGAAACGAGAACATTCTCTAACACCATATATAGAAATAATCTCAAAATGAGTTAAAGACTAAAATGTGAGACTGGATACTTACTATAAAACTCCTAGAGGAAAACATAGGCAGAACACTGATGAAAACTGAAGCAATGTCTGGATCCGTCTCTTACAGTAATGGTAATAAAAACAAACAATTGAGATCTAATTAAAAGATTTGCACAGCAAAGGAAACCATAAACAAAACAGAAAGACTACCTACAGAATGGGAGGAAATATTTGCAAATGATGCAGCCAACAAGGGGTTAATCCAAAATATACAAACGGCTCGGATATCAAAAACAAAAAATAAAAATAAAAAAAATAGACGATCTAAACAGATATTTCTCCAAAGAAGACATTAGATGGTCAAAAGGCATGTGGAAAGATGCTCAAGATCTCTGTATTTGTATAAATATGTAAAACTGAATCACTGCTGTACACCTGAAAGTAACATGACATTGTAAATCAACTAAAAATCTAAAACAGTAAACTGGACTTTATAAAAATCACAGATTTTTCTGCTGCAAAGAGTACATCATTAAAGTGAAAAAACAGCCCACAGAATAGGAGAAAATATCTGTAAATCATGTATCTGATGAAAGGCTTGTATCTAGAGTACTTATAGAACCCTTAAAACTCAATAATAAGAGATAAACCAATATTAAAATGGGTAAAGGATCTGAATAGTCATTACTCCCAAGAAGATACACAAATGGCCAAATAATCACTTGAAAAGATGCTCAGTGACACTGGTTATTAGAGAAACAAATTCATCACTTGGATGAATATAGTTTAAAAAGACAATAACAAACATTGGCAAGGATGTAAAGAAACTGACTTATAATTTGCCAGCAAGAATACAAATGGTATGATTGTTTTGTAAAACAGTTTAGCAGTTCTTTAAAAAGTTAAACAGTTGTCATATGACCCAGCAATTCCACTTCTAGAGAAATGAAAACGTATGTTCACAAAAAAACTTGTACGTGAAGGTTTATAGCAGTACTTTCCATAATAGCCAAAAAGTAAAAACGTCCCAAATGTCCATTTACTGGTGAATGGATTAAGAGAATGTGATTCATCCATACAATGGAATATTAATTGGCCATAAGAAAGAATGATGTATTCCCACATTCTGTTGTACAGTAGAAATGAATCTTGGAAATATGCTAAGTAAAAGAAGCCAGTCACAAAAGACCACATGATTCCATATATATGAAATATCCAAATTATATCTATATGTCTATATATCTATCTTTAGAGATAGAAAATAGATTAGTAGTTGTTTAAGACTAGTGGTACGGGGTTTTGGAGGTGATAATAAAAATGTTCTAAAAATGAACGTGATGGTTGTACATCTCTGACTATAAAACCATAAAATTACAGATTTTAATTGAATGGTATATGAATTATATCTTTATAAGGCTGTTTTTTTAAAGTTACTCTGTTGTGGAATTTGAGGTAATTTTATTTGTTTATATATATTTTTAATTTTTCTACAAAGAGAATGTTTTGCTTTAATAATCTGAGAAATGATGAATTGAGAGAGGATTTCTGTGGAATTTCTTAGTACAAATGTTTGTGCTTCTTATAAAACTAATCCTTTCCTTCCTAACCTTTTATATAAGCTGCATTGCTCTTTTTCATTATATGACTCAGCGTAGCAACAGACACTATTTTTCTTCCTCAAGCAGGACATGTTTAAATCATGAATTTCGTTTGTGTTGGCCCAAGGATACCCTCTCTACACACTCTGATAAGTTTGCACTGCATGAGCTATGTATAGCTGTCTAGATGTATAAAACTGTATAAATATAAACTAGAATGTGTTAAAAAATCCATTTCTAAGGGCAAAAGATCAAATCATTTTCTTAATTGGAAGGAACTATAGATAGAGAAATGACAATGTCCAGGGCCTGTCCACTGCTACACCAGTGCTAACAATGTGAACCCAACTGAATCCCACAGCCACAACTTTTCCTGTATATTACTACATTTTAAAAAATTTTTTGAATTGTTTGGGAGTGTTCTCTGTGAACTGGATTTTTCCTCAGTATTCTAGAATTATAAAGAAGAGAAAAATGGTTTCTTATCTCATTGGAGTTTTTGGACCTAACCTTTATTGATTAGTTTACAGATAACAGGATTCATAGGGAAGTAACCACTTGGTAACTCATTTTCCTTGTTTCTTCATTTGAACAGGTGACATCTTGTTGAACATCAATGGCATTGATTTGACCAATTTAAGCCACAGTGAGGCTGTGGCTATGCTGAAGGCCAGTGCCACATCCCCCACAGTGGCCCTGAAAGCGCTGGAGGTGCAGGTGGTGGAAGAGGCTGCCCAGGGCCCAGACGAGCCACCCAGCGCTGTCAGCGAGAATGAGTACGACGCCAGCTGGTCCCCGTCGTGGGTCATGTGGCTCGGGCTTCCCAGGTACTGAGGCTTTTCTGTTGTTTTATGGGAAATTGTCATTATAGTCTTTATCAGGGTATAGCACAGCAAGTTGATGAGGAAGGAAAGAGGCTTTAGTTAGATAAAAGTAACAACCCACTCCAGTACTCTTGCCTAGAGAATCCTGTGGACAGAGGAGCCTGGTGGGCTGCCGTCTATGGGGTCTCACAGAGTAGGACTCGACTGAAGCGACTTACCATGCATGCATGCATTGGAGAAGGAAATGGCAACCCACTCCAGTATTTCCCAGGGAAGGAGGAGCCTGGTGGGCTGCCGCCTATGGGGTTATACAGAACCAGACGTGGCTGAAGCAACTTAGCAGCAGCAGCAGCAGCAGCAGCAACTTCAAATCAGGTCAGTTTTTCTTTGTGCTGGTGTTCAGTCGCTAAGTCGTGTCTGACACTTTGTGACCCCATGGGCTGTAGACCAGGCTCCTCTGTCCATGGGATTTCCCAGGCAAGAATAATGGAGTGGGTTGCTATTTCCTTCTCCAGGGGAACTTCTCAACCCCGGAACAAACCCATGTCTCCTGCATTGGTAGGCAGATTCTTTACCACTGAGCCACTTGGGAAGCCCCCAGTTTTTCTTAGGTTATTATAGTCAAAAGGGTAAATTTAACAATAAGAACTAAGCTGAGGAGATTTACATATGCTTTTATAAAAATGACCCCTTACTAGAGGCTCCCACATGGGCTGCTGTGAGAGTGGGCGTTCAGTCTCCTGCTCAGAAGACTGTCCTTTACCAGCCTTCACTCTGACACGTGCTGGGAGGTACTGACACGTGCTACTAGAGGCTCCCATGCGGGCCGCCTTGAGAGTAGGCGTTCATTCTCCTTGCTCAGAAGACTGTCCTTTACCTTCACTCTGACACATGCTGGGACTCAGGTGTATTCTCCACTGGAAAAACCAGGCCAAAGTGTCTTCCTGTCCCAGAGCTGTTCTAAAAGCCCTTTCTTAATCCTTTTAAGTCTTCCTTAAAAGGAATGTAAAACTGAGTTTTTATTGGACATAGCCTGTAAGCCAAATCACTGATGTTCACGAGTATGTGCTCTTAACCCCTGTTAGAAAGAGGTCACAGCTTTTGACCAGCTGACCAGCCAAGACATTCTGCAGCTGGTTAGTATCTGGTCATGAGACGTTTGGGACCTCCAGACCATGGCTGTGTGGGTTTGGTACTGAGGTAGGGAGGATGCCCATTACATTATCATCTTTGTTTCCAGCTCAATTTAGGTTCTTACTGTGGAGAATACTGAAACTGAACTATGACAGAACATTCTTTTAACCCAGTGTGAAAATGATCGATTCTTTAACTAGTAAGAATGTACCAGTTTCTGAGCCATCTGGCTTCATTTGGAATAAATTACTAATAGTTAGCATTTATATGGTGCTGTATGGTTTATAAAGTATTTTCACATAAAGAATAACAGGGGAAAAAAAAAGAATAACAGAAAAAAGCAAGAACATTATTAAATTTACTTTGTTAATTAATTTGCTAACTTGTTCTCTTGGTTAAAAGGATAAGAAGAGAAAAAAAAGAAGGCCCAGGCTGTAATAGAATTACTGTTACAGGGACCTATAGGGCTCTTGTGGAGAGAGATTTTTTTTTTACAACAATATGATTAACTGCTTCATAGGTTTATTCCAAGCACCAAAAGTGATCTTTCCCCCCATTAAAAAGTCAACATAGCTATAAATGCTTGCTTTTCAATTCCTACAGACATGCCATCTAAGTTGTGAGGTGTTGGCCCTGAGAAGGAACCTAACTGATTATAAACATTCATCCCAAAAGTCTTTGTGAGAAGTTGCGCCCTCATGCGGACAGTTATGCACAGGTCCCCCCTCACCTCTACCTCTGGACAGGAGAGGACCAGTGAAGTACTGGAGAAACACCCCTGCTACTTGTAGCTCTCTTTTTCTATTATCCCTGGCTAGTTTGGGGGTCAGCACTTCTTCCTGTGTTCAGAGCATTTTCTGATGTGCCAGGAACAGTAACAAAGATTTTAGGTGAGAAATACACAATATAGAACAAGGCAGTCAACAGATTCAATGCAATGTCTATCAAATTACCAGTGGCATTTTTCACAGAACTACAACAAAAAGTTTTAAAATTCGTATGGAAACACAAAGGCCTCAAATAGCCAGAGCAATCCTGAGAAAGAAAAACAGGTAAGTGGTCAAGATGGTGGAGTTAGAAGGACCTGAAGCTCACCTTCTCCCACAAACACATCAAAAATGTATCTGCACATGGAATGAGTCTCTCAGAGTGCCTGCTGGCCGCTGGCAGACGACCTCAGACAGCTGAAAGGGCAAGAGAATCTTGGGCTTCAGAACTGAGACCCGGGAGAGGACTGGGGTTGGCTGTGCAGAAATAGCCAGGGAGTGGTGGGCATCTGCTGCGACTGCAGAGGGTATACACGGAGGACAGCTGGCCACCCTTGAGACCAGGTGCCAGTGTCTGGGGATGTCCAAGGCGAGGGGCAGGACCCACTGTTTTCCCCACATGCACACTTGAAAGGGCAGGACACAGCCTGCACAGGATCCAGGAGCCGTCATGAGCCACTACTGCTGCGCGCCCAGACACCAGGAGGGTCACAGCTGCTGCCATCTCCCTCTTGGACTCCAGGCATGGTCGCAAGACACCATCATGTGAGCCACTGCTGCCACCACCTGCCCAGATGCCAGAAACTCACAAACCACCATTGCTGCCCCCCTGGGACTCCAGGAGTGGTCTCGAGCTGTCTCCATGCCCACCATGTGCTCTGGGGGTGCCACCACTGCCACCAGAAACTCCAGGAGCAGGTCAGCCACTGCATCTGCACACCCCCATCAAGGGGACACGACCGGCACACACTGAGGAGAGGCGGCAGGCATCCATGCTAAAGACAGCCCTCGCACAAAATATATTAAACCCTCACAAGTGACACAGGGATGCCCCCTCACGTAAATAGCCCCCCAAGACCACAGTTTTTCCTAAACTCAGAGTGAGAGAAATAGAAGTAAAGTAAAGCAGAGGAACCATTTCCTGTTAAAAGGCTGAGAGAATTCCCCTGAAAGAACAAACAATGAAAGACCTCTTCAGTCTAATAGACACCAATTTTAAAAAGGAGATAATGAAAATATTGAAGGAATTAAGAAAGGCTATGGATAGAAATGCAGAGTACTGTAGAAATGAACTAGAAATACAAAGAAAAACCAAGAAAAATAAGAAAGCTCATTTGCAAAGACAGAAGCTGAGCTGAAGGCAATGAATAGCAAAATGAATAATGCAGAAGAATGAATAAATGACCTGGAAGAAAGAATAATGGAAATCACCCAGTCGGGACGGCAGAGAGCCAAGTGGGGGGGAAAAAAAGTGAAAGCAAGAGTGCCATGGGGTAATATAAAGTGTGCCAGTTTACTCATAATAGGAACTCTGGTAGGGGAAGAAAGAAAATGAGATCAAAATATATTTGAAGAAATTATGGCTGAAAATATCCCAAACTTAAAGAAGGAAACAGATACTCAGGTTCAGGGATCACAGAGTGTTGCAAACAATCTAAACCCAAACAGACCTACACCAAGACATAGTATAATACAAATGACAGAAGTTAAAGAGAGGATCCTAAAGGCAGCAAGAGAAAAAGTTGATTACAAGGGAACCCCCACAAGGCTATCAACTGACTTCTCTGCAGAAATGGCAGCAGGCAAGGGAGTGGCAAGATAAATTCAAAAGTCCTGAAAAGAAAAATATACCACCCAGGATGCTCTCCGAAAGAAGATTATCATTTAGAACAGGGGGAGAGAATTTCTCATACAAGCAAAAACTAAAGAATACAGCAATACTAAACATATCCGAAACTCCAATAATTTGGCCACCTGATGCAAAGAACTGACTCATTGGAAAAGACCATGATGCTGGGAAAGATTGAAAGCAGGCGGAGAAGGGGGATGACAGAGGATGAAATGGTCGGATGGCATCACCGACTCAATGGACGTGAGTTTGAGCAAGCTCCAGGAGTTGCTGATGGACAGGGAAGCGTGGCGTGCTGCAGTCCATGGGGTTGCAAAGAGTTGGACATGACTGTGTGACTGAATTGAACTGAAAACATATCCGAAAGGAAAGATTGAAAGGTCTTCTCTAAATAGGAAAAAAAAAAAGTAACAATCTGCAGGAAAGAGAAAATCATAAGTGGAAAATAATCACTTATATAAGCCAGTACACAGATTAACATATCATTGACCAGAGACGTATGTTTTTAGAGAGTAATACAATTAATGTGCTCAGTTGTGTCCAACTTTCTGTGGCCCCCCTGGACTGTAGCCTGCAAGGCTACTCTGTCCGTGGAATTTTCCAGGCAACTTTAATGGAGTGGGTTGCCATTTCCTTCTCCAGGGGATCTTTCTGACCCAGGGATCAAACCCACTCCTCTTATGTCTCCTGAATTGGCAGGCAGATCCTTTCAAAACTGATGCATCACAAAATTTTGTGTTTCTAAAAGAACCCCCCTCAAAGATCCATTTTGTTTACTATCATGGAAGATAAAAGAATATATTCTAGAGGAAATACCACCCATAGGACTAAAAAAAAAAAAATGCCACCAGAAAGTGTAGCATCTGCTCTTCCAGGGGAAGGCACAGTGAAACACTATGTTTTTGTAATAGATGTTGTGATCCCCTGAACAGAGGAACCTGCCACACTGCCTGCCATGCGCTAATGAAATACTAGAATGCTTTACAGTAAGACATGTACAAAGTCTCAAATAAATAAGTGCAAAAAAAGTTGCTGATGTGATTTGAGTTTACTCAGATGCAGGTGTTTCAATATTCACTAACATAACAAATTGCTAGCACAGGTGTTAAATTTCTGCAAAGAACCACCCCCCCCACCCCAGTCTATAATATGTTTTAAAAAAAATTCCATTAAAGTGATGATGACCACACTGAACAACAAAACAATGAATATGAGGATGTAAAAGAGGTCATCAAAATCATATAAAATGTGGG